CTTCTGCTGGCGGTTTGATCCTCAGACATGGTAGTACTTTAATGGAAGGAAAGATTCCTTTTGTAGTACCATTTATTTCTGATGAGGTCAGTGCTTCCATCAGAAAGTGTCTGAAGAGGTCGGGTTTGGAAAATTTCGTTGCTATCGTATACGTACCACCCTACAATCTGAAGAAGCGCCTAATTCGAAACAGGCTATACGATCGCCTATGTTCTACCTCAAACTGTGTGGTCTGTCCAGCTGGAAGAGAAGGTGATTGTAACATGTCTGGGGTGGTCTACAAGATCACTTGCCGTGTTTGTGGTGAAGAGTATATTGGCGAGACGGCAAGAGCACTCCACGTGAATTAAGGAGCACATAGATGGTATGAGACGACTAAAAGAGTCTACTGCCTTAGGGAGTCACCGAATTCGAAAGCATAACTGAGACGTTTTGAGGTCACCGTGAAGGTCGTAGCACAGAAGACGGAACTATGCGCACGTAAAACCCTCGAGGCATTTTGGATACAAGTCACTGATCCAAAAATGAATCGTAGGGAAGAATGTGTCGCAATCACGCGGGAGCTGCGGCCTTCTATAGGATTAGCCTTCCCACAGTGACTTTGAATGAGGACTTACTCCAGCTAAGACTGGTCGGTTGGTACCATCACTTGGTGGGTGGTTTCGAAGAATCCACGAAGCTACGGTGGGGCCTCTCCTTTCGATCACTTGCGTGCCCTGGGGGTATCGAACCTCGGAGAGTTGGTGGAGACGTTTGGTCGTATAGCCACAAGTTGTTATGATCCTTTCAGGCTCTGAAGGAGGCGATATCGTCGAAACGTCAGCCTAATAAAGCTTATTTACAAACCTCGTGAAGAGTTCACGAAAACAATAAACTGATAAAATACATCATTCCTATGTTGAGTTCGTGGCACAACTCCGTTCTTCACGTCACGTCACTACGACATAAATTGTTTTTCGACGCCGATGGACAGCATTCCGTGATGTTTGGGATTTGTTGTCTCACCATATGTGGGCTGTATATCGTTGATGTATACACATACAAAACAGCTCCACAATGTAACGTAAAAGTGTATAAACATAAAAGATTACACTGAGAATTGCAGGCTGAATGTGCGTATCTTGAAATACATACTTTAAACATATCGCATAACGACGAGTTTACCATATAAGGTAACACGCAAGCGAGAATTCCACAGATATGTAGACAGCGACAGCTCAATTGAACTAATACACGTATGTCTGGAGACCGTTGAATTGAAAGAATCAACTCAACGTTTTCGGGCGATTACAACTCCGAGATGCTCAGTGGGGTACCAGCTTCCCACCCTCACTACATGAGTACTATCAAACACATGCTCTAAAGCTGCGGAAGCGGCCCTTCGGCCCAAAATGCGGGTTTCCAAATCACCATCGATTCTGATGTCCATTTCTTGCCTAGTCCATTCTGGTTTCCTAGTGAACATCGTATATGTAATATGGTCTAGTGCGGGAGCAACTATTTAATGTAGAGTTCTGGCCCTTGGTGGATCAGAAAATTCTCTGAAAGTAGTATGGCTCCGATCTGAAGATAGAGCGCCCGAGTGTGCAAAGCTTGAATCTGCTATGCCAATTTTGGTCTGGTGGTACAGAGTTTATTACTTATCGCGCTTCTCAGCATTTTTCCCCTCAGAACTCCCTCGCGCTCTATCCGTCTCTTTTTGTTTGTCTAGGAAGGCGGTAATAGGAAGCGGTAATCGAAGCCCTGGGCAACCAGAGTGTTCCCTCTAGGGATGATATATATAAGGATGCTTAGTTAGCTCTATAACAACTTCGCGACGAGGATCTCGGATTTCTTATAAAGTCATCAGCAGCATGAAGAGCGGGCGATATCATCTCGCCCAAACATTTCAGTGACGCTCTTAAAACATTATTCGTCATATGGAATGGGAAGGCATGGTAGTGAAAGTCAATGACCGCTACTTACATCATATACGTGTTGCAGATGACATAGTGTTTATAACATCGAACATCGAGATGGCGAAGGAAAGACTGGCCAAATTCGACAACGCTTGTGGTAAGATCGGATTACGACTGACTTAACGAAGAAGATGTTCATGCGAAACAGATTGTTACCTGATGCTCCTTTACGACTCCGGCTACATTTGAGAAGATCAAGGGAGTGGTGGGGAAGACAAAACACATCCGACTCCGAGCTCACCTTGACGACACTGCGGTCCTTCCTGCTTTGGCGGACCCCACAAGGACTTCAACTTCACGAAAGCAGAATGAGCATACAGAGCGAAATTCAACGCGCTGTGAAAAGGACATAATCAGGATTTTCCTAAGAGTTGCGAGCTTCATCATCAAACAAAACAATCAATTCGGAGAATTGGATGAGCATTAGCCTGAGAAGAAGTCACTGAGGCAATTGAGAAGATGTGCTTTAGTCAACGAAGAGGCTAATGAATGCTAACTTCGTTTGCCGAAGGCATGACATTGTGATATGGGAAATGAGGACGTGCTGAACGAGCGAAGGGTCACAGAAATCTCATCGAAGATTAGAGTTGGTTCATAAGAGGAAATCGTAGAATCGACACAAAACGCATACGCATTCGAGTGCCTACAAGCACTATCCGGGAGCGCAATACACTGAAGAGGTCCAATCCCCTGTTACTGTGGGAAATTTCACTCTACAGCCTTTCTGTAAAAAGACAGGGCCATCAACCCGTACGTGCTCAATATGTGCTCAAAGACTATGTTGCACAGGTGAAAACCTCATTGGCACCAATCACAGACCTATTCACGTCAAGAGCTTCGTTCTTCAGAATATACAATTTCGAGATTTTAGCGACATCATCCATGAGGCGACAAAAATTGTCTTGCACCTATGTTAGAACACCGTTCCCCCATTCTTTATTGAGCAAGGGAGTTTAGTACAAAGGATATGTGACTAGTAGCGCTATGTCTCGTATGCATAATGCCAGGGTGGGGAATGGAAGAATCATTCCCAAAGAAATGTTTGCGAAGGGCGCGAACGTTTCAATGGCCTTTTATCTATTGCATCGTGCCAGGGTAGTGATGATGGATTAAAGTTTCCCTCATAAACAGGTGAAGGATCAGCAGCTCTCCACAACCATGTGACCTTGAACTCTGCTCTCCAAGCTGAAGAAGAGCTCAGAGAAGCGCGACTCCCACTCATCCCCCACCCTGGGAAAGGAAACCTACCTACCCAGAGTGGGGCATAATTCCACCACTAGAATTGAGCTGGGGCGCCAATGGCCATGTTAACCATTGCTCCGCAATTCATTGCATTATTCGTCTGAGCGCTTATTCCTCTGATCTCTGCTGCCAATTTAGTCAAATGTTGCTCTGCTGTCCTTATAATGCTGCGATCAACTACCAATTTGTTTTTATTGTTGCAGTCGTTGCTGTGGAGCAGCCGAGGTTTTAGATGAGCATGCTTTTCTTTCTGGATTTACATTAGTTGTCGTGAGCATTTTTGCATCATGATCGTGGTATAATTCAAGAAAGGAAGCAGAATTATTTTCGTCAGCAACTAGTGAGTAGTTTTTCGACTGATTTATACATTATTTCATACGTATACCAGTTGGGTCA